ACTTGAGGCCCTATCATACTAGCACTTTTTTTTGGTTATGACTGTTTCTGTCTGACTAATTTCTGTCTTGATCTTGTAATATGGACGATCTAAACAGCTAGAAGTTTTTTTATTGAGAAATTAGGTAGAGTGAGGGAATGTAAACATAAGCTAATATTTGAGAACATTCGTATATATAATATACATAATCATATTTCTTTAAAAATCATGATATGTATGAGAATGTTCGTATGATTCCGGGACCTTACACTGATGGCACCATGTTTATTTACATGAGCACCATGTTTTCTGCTTTGGTTGTGTGGTTTCTGTAATATTTTCCTCTATCTGTGGTGTTATCATTTGTGTCTGCAGATTATTTCTTGTATTGATGACTGTAACCTTTTGTCCTCTATAAGAATATCATTAGTTCAAACCTACCATATAGATTTAACCCTTTTTTATATCAATATCAGAAAAAATGAATATCACAATTATTGGTGATAAAATGTTATGTGAGATTTTTCTTAAAAAATCATTTTTTGTACATGTACACATAAAATATGCCCTCCATTTAGACTCCCTGTTAATGTGCTGTACCTTATAAAGGGATCTGTATGTGTACCGAGTAAGAAGTGCCAATGATAAAAAATGAATATAAATAATGATGATAATATTTTGGTTTGGCTACGCCCTAACAGTCTATGCAGTCTACCATTGTTGAAATAGATTGTATCCGTTCTAATGAGCACTTCAGTACAAAAGGCATCTTGGATGTGATTTTTGAACTCCGGAAAAATAAGAGAGATATTGATTATTTTATGCTGAAGATGGTAATACACAATGACAGCTGCTGTAAAATGAAAACTATATGGAATTTTGAAAATTAGTCCTATGCATTGTCCTTGTAGAGAGTTGAAACAGCTATTGTACCTTTTTCAAGTGTTTCGAGTAAAAAATGCTACCTGTGAACACCACCCAGGTTTTCAATGATTTTTATTCAATTAGTTGCAAGGATAATTCATGTAAATGACAAAACACCAAGTATATGCTGGTTCCCATTGCTCAATGGCTAAATAAAAAAAAAAATTACAAAAGAAAATGATATAAAACTATGGGGTAACTAATGATTTTTCCTTTACATATAAATGGGTTTACTCCTATGAAATGAACATGATTCAGACAGTTAATCTTCTGTGAGTTACACATATAAACCTCCTCAAAAAGAATAGTAAATAGAAAATAGAAAGTGAAAATAGAATATTAGTATTTTCTAGTTTATATTAGTTTTATTAAACATGTTGCGCAAGAATATGTTTTCATATAAAAAAACAATGTACCTTTACATAATATGATCCCTATTGAATCTGATTGACTTGGTAATAATCTCATCGCAAGGTACACTAAATTAGTTTTTTTTTTTTTTTTTTTTTTTTTTTTTTTTGTATATGACAACATTAGATTTAGCAAAAGAATTATAGAGATAATGAACTGGCAATGGAGTCCAAATTTCTATTGGCCTGTTCTCAGCACTTTGTTTACATAAGCTGTGATACCATCCAGTGGTTGTGATTATCATGTGCCCTGAAACTGGTTGGTTGCATTTGTAATGGCCTTGGACATAATTTGTCAATTCCTATTTTTTTAATTTCTAAAAAAAAAAAAAAAAAAACAGCAAAGTATAGATACGTAATGCAGAAACAATGAATCCAATGTAATTTACAATTGCAAAGAATCCTCCCCCCCACAAATTAAAAAAGGAAAGGAAATTTAAAAATCTGAATCCGAGATACCCTTTGCATAGGGTTGATTAACTGAAGAATGTTTTTCAGGTTATTCTGGTAAAATATACAACCAGTTGATGGTAGTGTTGACTGTTAAAAAAATAAAGAATAAGAATATAAAAGGGACTTTTTAGAGGCTCACATCCCTTATTGGGGTTGTATAAATAATATATGAGATTAAGCAAAATTATATACTCCATAACATGCATTTTTTTTTTTCCCTTTTTTTTCTTTTCTAGTATATAGATAGGCTTCAAAAAGTAACATAATTTGACCATGTCATCATCATCATTGGGAGCTAATGCTGCTGGGGGTGCATAGCTGCATCCAGTCTTCATTTCCATCTATGAGAATCCCTCATGGCGAGCCGCCAGGCAGAAGACTTGGCTCATTGATGTGCCCAAGCCTGACATCCTTTGTCATCCCCAGGCCTCCTCCACTTGGGGTTGTCTTGTACAGAGACAACCTGGTGGCAGGTTCCACCATAATGACCAGTCCATACAAATATTGAAAAGTATTGGTGCAAGGACGCACCCTTGCTTCACTCCTGAACTAACAGGAAAGAAGCTCGACAGGCAACCACCACACTTTCAGTACCAGTATACAGGCATGCTATTAATCCAATAATCCTTGTTGGAATACCTCGCAATCTCAGGATCTCCCAGAGTGATTCCTGATGCACTGTATTGAACGTCTTCTTGAGGTCGATGTAGGCTGCAAGCAGCCCGCGCCAGAACTCACGCTGGTGCTATACCAACTGGTGCAAGGATACGGTCTATTGTGAATCCAGATTGTTCTGGCCTCTGTTGCCTCAGCAGGTGGTCTCTTATATGGATGTGGTTAAGAACCTTGCCTGGTATATTGAACAATGTGATGCCTTGGATATTGCTGCAGTCCAATTGATCCCTTTTCCCCTTCCAGAGAGGGATGACCACACATCTCAACAGGTCAGGGGCGATGGTACCAGACTGCCAAATGGCAGCCAGGACAGCATGTAACCCCTGTGCCATAGGGGCTCCCCTTCACTTCAGTTAGGGAGGGTGGATCCTCACTGATGGGTAGGTCTGGCAACGAAATCTCGACACTACCCACATCCAAATTAACTGTTGGTGGGTCAACCTGGTGCAACTGCTCAAAATACTCTGCCCAACGCTCCCACACCACAACATGATCTGAGATGATCTTGCTACCTACTAAGCGGACTGCAGTCACCTGTGAAGAGGGCTTGGAGTTAAGCTTTCTCAGGGCTTGGTAGGCAGGACAAAGGTTATTTTTCTAAGAAATGGCCTTTAATCTCCTCTGCAAGACTCCTAATAAACTGTGACTGAGTCCTGCGCACCTGAGAATGATGCAAATCCCATGTCAGATGAGCCGCAAGCTTGCACCATTGCCTGGGAGATAAAATTCTATCTTGTTCTAGGGCTTCACCAATCGATTCATGGATTGCATCGAACATTGCATCGAGGTGTCCCACAGAAGTACAGGGTCCGTCAGGTTGTCAGGTGCCATGAAGCAACCAGAAATTGCCTCGGCAAACCCTCAGGCATACAGAAATGACAACTTTAAAACTTAATTGGCAACTCCACTATGGATCTCTTTATTGTGTCAACATAGTTAAGTTTGCAGTTACAACAAAATAACTATTTTATCTTGCAAAGCTAGATATTACAATTTAGAACTTTTTAAGAATAACACATATACTTAGAAAGTGGATGGCATAAAATCATGTAAAAGCTGTGGTGGACTGAGTCATGGTTTTCGCCATGTCAGCTTGTCAGAGGGAGCTCTTTCTTTCTCTGTTATTAGTGACCTCATTTGTTTGGTGTCACTATTAGACACAATCACCTTAACCCGCATATGAGACACCTGAAAAAATAAACATTGCCGGCGTCCCACCATTTTTTTTTTTTTTTTTACCTGTTTATCGGCTACACTTACAGGCTATTAGGTGCCTAGTGTTGTGCTGTAACCCTAAGGAAACACGTCCTATCACATCATGGTAGACCACTCTGTCTTAGTATCATATGCAGTCAAGCCTTCTCTCACGTTATCCAAGCTAAATAGTTACGCACTTGTTTGTATTTGTTGTATTCAATGAAGAAAAATAGCCCATTAAAGCACCATTACCTAAAGACTGTTTATGCCAAAGCCAAGACTAGAGAACAGTAATTTTATGTTTTCTGTGTTTCTGGCTTTTCCCTAAAGGAGCTGAATCTGCAAGCACCCTGTGGTGTTGTTTAGTATGGCTATAGGGGCACCCATTGTCCTTGAGATAATAACCGACCTAACTGGGCACAAACAGGGAGTCTGCCAGTGTGCACCAACAACCATGCATTACTGGCCACTAGCCTATTATTTATGCTGTAGATATTGGGTTAAATGTATATGAAGCAAAAGTAAGGATGTTTTATTTATTTGTCCAGCCATTGCTGTAGTTACCTGAAGCTTAGTCTGGTTACTTGTCAAGGAGATGTAGAAGCTCTAGTGCCATCTTTTCTGGTGTTAATTAGGATGTCCAGAAAAGGAATTTCACTGCCACATGCCAAATATATACTATGTGTTGGAGCATCAAGGCTGTTGCAGTTACCAGAAGGTATGACATTGCCTAACAAAGCAAATCAGCTATGTACAGAGCAGTAGAATATATATTTAGTAGAATTTTTGTCATATTATAATTCAATCAAAAAAATGAAAAAGCAGATTAAAGGCACTTTCACACCAATATGGCATATCACATGTGGCACCCCATTTAAAAATGAACATATGTAAACATATGAAACCTTTCACATGTGAGAAGTGGATATGGCACATTGCATGGCGACATGCATGCCATGTGAAAATTGGACTAGCTCCTGCTCTGCTTCTTTTGTTTATTAACCCATTGGGTCCGGATGCTTCACTTCCATCATGAATATATAATAATAATGTCAGTGATAAAAATATCCTCATTGATATTAATAGAATTAGAAAAAATATTTTCCCTGAAAACCCAAGGCCTAACCCTATTAATTGGCTTCTTGGTTGTGTACTATGGGCATACAAAATTCATTAAAAAAGATACAATTGACAGAACCCATACAGTAGTCTGAATTTACCAATCTTGTATGGTCCCATTTTAAAATTAATTTAAAGGGATAAAAAAAAACCTTCAGTGGAAAAAGCATAGGAATTTGGTTTCAGTATCATTTACTCATATTGTTGGAGTACAGGTACATGATACATGATTTAGATTTGCAG